GGTGTTCTTGTGCATATGCCCTCTCTTCTTATCAGCTGGATGCTTCACTCTCCACTCTAGTCCTCTGTGGCTATGTTGCTGACTCTGGGCCCAAGAGTCCCCAGGTCTTGCCACACTGCTGGCCAACCAGGTCTCCATCCAGGTTCACAGGAGTGTATTGAATATTATAGGGCTTAGTTCACAGCTTCATTGCTGTTTTTTCCTCACTTCCCCTTATTGGTTGTGAACATGGTCACCAATCAGAGTGTGTATTCCCATTGAGTCTTAGTCTTGGAAAGGTGTTTGCTCTGAGGGGACCTGACTACTTGCCTTGATGTCTCCTGGGTGAGCATCTTGCTTGTTCTTGTAGTAATCAGTTGGTCTGCTGTTATTGTTTTGTATTTTTCCTGTAGGTCTTTCTTTCAAGAAGTATCTTCTTTTCTTGTAGCCACTCCGGTCTGGTCTGCTTGTCCTTTCAAGTGGAAATTTCCCACCTCAGAAGATTCTGGATGCTGTTCAGGATTCTACCTATGGTCCTATGTAATGCAGAGGCTCCGCAGGAAGCCTCCTTCACTGGGTACATTGTAGCCCCATTTTAGGTATTCCAATCAGTTATAGGCAGAAGATGGACTTACAAGCTTTCTATGGTGATATTTTTGTCTATTCCTTTCTCTCCCCATTAAGTATCTATTTTATAATAGTATGTCAGGGAAACCAAGATTGAAAAGACAGCCAAGCATCTTAACATTATTTCCCCCCTTTTGCCCATTCCAACCATGTCTCAATCCCTGTATCCGAGAGCCCTGATGTTTCAAGGTTGTGCATACATAATTATTTACCTCTGTCCCACTTAGCCCATGCAAACCTGCCTAATTGTTCTCCCATCCGCTTTGTTCTTCCATTCCCCTCCCCCTTCTTATATATTGCTCCCCTCCTTAGCACCCAAACTATCCTGTGTCTCTTCCCTACCCTGTGCTCCACCTTCTCCTCCTTTCCCTCACCCCAGCCCCCACAATCCAGTAGCCAGCAAAATATCCCCCCACCCACCCCCTACCCTTTAGTATGGGTTCTTTGTCTTAGACTTTTACAGTGGTGGTCCTATGCAGTATTTCTCCTTTTGTGACTGACTAATTTCACTCAACATAATGTCCTCAAGGTTCATCCATGTTTTGTGTTGGCTTGCAGCTTCTTTGTTATTCTTCAAGGTAGCATAATATTCCATTGTGTGTATGTACCACAGTTTGTTTATCCATTCTTCAGTTGATGGGCACTTTGGCTGTCTCCATCTTTTTGCTATTGTAAATAGTGCTGCTATGAACATAGGTGTGCATGTATCTACTCATGTTATGGCTTGTATTTCTTGTGGGTAAATCCCAAGTAGAGGAATTGCTGGATCATAAGATATTTCTATTTTGTTTGTTCTTCTAACAGTCATGGAATATTCAGTATTGTTTGCCAACACCATAATTCAAAGGCATCACATCTTCAGTCTTCCGTATTCATTGTGGTTGTTTGACTGCACATGAAGCTAACTGCAAGGTTGGCAGTTTTCAAATCTATCAGTAGCTCCTTGGAAACCCTATACAGGGTTGCTATGAGTTAATACTTACTCAACTTGATGGCACCAACTCTACTCGGTGGCACTTAACAACAAATAAGGCTATTGAAAATACTATGGCTTGGGGTCAGGCACACCTTGCTCTTTAAAACAAAGTGACATCTTTGTTTGTTTTTTTAAAAAACATTTTAAAGAGATCTTTTGCAGCAGATTTACCCAATGCAATATAGCTTTTGATTTCTTGACTGCTTCCAAGGTGTTGTTTGTGTATCCACATAAAATGAAATCCTTGACAACTTCAATCTTTTTGCCATTTATCATAATGTTGCTTATTAGTCTAGTTATGAGAATTTTTGTTTTGTGTTGAGGTGTAATCCAAACTGATCTTTATCAGCAGGTGCTTCAAGAATTCTTTGCTTTCAATAAGCAGTGTTTCATCATTTGCATATTGCTGGTTGCTAATGAATCTTTCTTCAGTTTGGATGCTGCATTCTTCAGATGGTCAAGGTTTGAATTATTTGCTGAGCCTACAGATTGAATAAATTTATTGAATAGATTTATTCAGTCTGTAGGCTCAGCAAATAAACCTGAGGCCCAGCTTTCCTGACTTTAAACCAGAGTACTCACCTTGTTTTGTTTGAATGACTGCCTCTTGGTGTATATATAGGTTCTGTATGAGCACTTTGTCATCAGAGAATCAGAAGGTGACTTTTAGTGTGTGTTTTAAGGAAGCTTGCTTGTAGAAATAGGATTCTGCACATGTCAAGTTAAACTCATGGGTGGAGGAAAGACTATAACTTAATATCATTTCTGTCATGCTTTACTCATTTTATCAATTTGACCATTAAAAAACTTTTTTTTTTATCAGAATGCTTTAAAATACTTATTTTTATTTGATCTTTCTAATATTGTATGAATAAATTACAATCATATTTATAAGTTTCAGACACATTGCTGAGGTTTCAGGAACTGTTTTTGGGTGATGCTTTGTGCTATACTTCTGTTGGTAACTATGTATTACACAAAAACAGTTGCTATATGACAATGAGGAGATATAGGCAGCATTTTGACAGGGAAGAAATTTAACTTTTTTAAGGGAGACAAGATCTCAGACCTGTTGGGCATGGCCCTCCTTAAGACTGAGACAGGATCCAATGATGATCTTTTTGTCTTACTATAGGAGAAGGTTGACAGGACAGCATCCAGCAATCCTGACCTTCATCTGAACAGGGCAACGGTAAGACCTGTGGAATGGTGGTCCTCAGTGCCAAATAAATAAGACATGTAGTCCTTAGCTTGTGAGGATAACAGTATACATAGAGATTAGGTTGGCTATAAACTGCTAGTGGAAAGCCACATTATTTCTAAGGAGAATTAGCTCACTTTGGCTTCAGTATCTGGTGGAGTCACTGGCGGAAAAGGAGAAGGACTGAGGAGGTGGGGGTACATAGAGGATGGGGGTACATAGAGATGACTTCTCTGAAATGTTAATTATAAATAAAAAATACCAAATATATACAACTGAATTCTTTTAGAGTTTGGAACTTAGCTTCTTGGAAATGATTCGAACTTTGGGGTTGTGATCACCCTGGCCAGAAAGGACAGTATAAGGTATTGCTAGCTCTCCAGGCTGTTCATTGTCGTACTGGGAAGGAAAACAGTTTATTTCTCTAGATTCTTAGCTTTTACTCCCCCGACATAGTTTTTGTTACATATACTTGTAATTGGGAGGTTTTTTGTTTTTTTCTTGTGCAGTTGAATAAATATGAAGAGAATTATGGGGATGCTCTGGAAGGCTTCTCTCGCGCTGCAGCTCTGGACCCTGCCTGGCCAGAGCCCCAACTACGAAAGCAACAGCTCCTGGAATTTCTGAATAGATTAACCAGCCTCCTTGAGAGCAAGGTAAAGATGTCTAAAAGATTGGATCTTATTCTTTCATTTTGGGTTTTTGTTGTTGTTAGGTGCCATTGAGTCGGTACCGACTCATAGTACCTGTGTACAACAGAATGAAACACTGCCTGGTCCTGGGCCAACCTCACAATTGTTGCCATGCTTGAGCCCATTGATGCTGCCACTTTGCCAAACCATCTTGCTGGAGGTCTTCCTCTTTTTCTCTGACCCTCCACCTTACCAAACTTGATACCTTCTCTAGTGACTGGTGCCTTCTGACAATATGTCCGAAGTA